TTGATGCTGCTTCTGCTGCTGCTGCTTCTGCTGCTGTTGCTTCTGCTGCTGTTGCTGTTGCTGCTGTTGCTGCCCCGCTGCTGCATGCACCTAGCCCTTTTGCATGTATATTTTGCTGCTACTTTTTTTATTGTTTGTTGCTCTGTCTCCTTATGTCTGTTTCTGCTGTCTCCTCTCTTAAATTTTTTCTCTTTTTGCGTGTCTTTGCTGCTGCTGCTGCTGCTGCTGTCCTCAGCCCGCTGCAGCAGCAGCCTTCTTCTTCTCCGCGTCTCTGTTTGCTTTTTCTGTCTCCTGCGTCTCCTGCTCAGGTCTCCTTCCTCTCGCGTAAGTGCTGGTTGCTGCTGCTTCTGCTGCTGTTGCTGCTGCTTCTGCTGCTGCTGCTGTGGCTGCTGCTGCTGCTGCTGCTGCAGCTATAGTGCTGGGGTTTTATTTTTTTTTGTTTTGTTTGGACGCTTAGACTGGAGAGCAGCAGATCCTTCAACAGAAGCAGAAGCCTTTGCTGCGCGTTTGCTGCTGTCTCACCATAAACGTTTAGCAGAAGCAGCAGCAACAGCAGCAGCAAAAGCAAGAGCAGCAGCAGCAGCACAACAACAAGGACAAGACAGACAAACAGCAGCAGCAGCAGCAGCAGCAAATAGAGGCGCGCCGGCTCAGGCGATGCTGCTCTGGGAAGCACAAGATCCTCTACTTATACAGCGCTGCTGCACCCCGACAGCAGCAGCAGCAGGAACAGCAGCAGCAGCAGCAGCAGCAGCACAAGCAGCAGGAGGAGCAGCAGCAAGAGCAGCCTTCCGTAATATTCAGGGTGCATGCGAATTGGTGCAGCAAGAACTCGCAGCAAGCGGCAGCAGCAGCAGCAGCGGCGGTTATTCTGGTTTAGAGCCTAAAGAAAACAGCAGCAGCAGCACGTTGCTGCCTCCGGAGACAGCTGCTTCTGCTGCTGCTGCTGCTGCTGGTGCACTTGGGGTGTCTAGGCAGGTGTCTCCTGAGGTGAAGGAGACAGCAGAAGGGGCAGCAGCAGACCCTTATCTTGCTGTGTCTCCTTGGCGTCGAAGCAGTTTCTCCTCTCTCTCATCTCTACACACGCAGTCAACAGCAGCAGCAGCAGCAGCAACAGCAGCAGCAGCAGCAGCAGCAGCAGCAGCAGCACGGGGGCCTTCAAAAGAACCTCAATGGGAAGCAAAGAGACTCTTTCGGGTGTATGTACACTCGGTTAGGGATCTCAACAAACGCCGCATACAAAATAAACTCCTCCAGATACGTCTTGCTGCAGTGCAGCAGCAGCAGCAACAGCAGCCGCAGCAGCAGCAGCTGCCGCTGCTGCAGCACCAGGGAGAAGAGGAGGAAATGCGAGCTGCTGCTGCCGCACTGCTCTCTAATGAGCAGTGCAACAACAACAACAGCAGCAGCAGCAGCAGCAGCAGCAGCACGAGAGCAGTGGCTGCGAGCATTGTGGGCGGCGTTTGCTTTTCCTGCTTTCAGCAGCTTCTTACCTGTCCCCTGCCTGCTGCTGCTGCTGCTGATGGAGCAGCAGTAGGTGTATGTACACTCAGAGCTGTCTCCTGAATGCAGTCATGTCTCTTGCCCAGACACTTCCTTTAGAAGAGCTGCTGCTGCTGTTGCTGCTGCTGCTGCTGCTGCTGCTGCTGCTGTTGCTGTTGCTGCTGCTGCTGCTGCTGCTGCTGCTGTTTCTTCTCCCGTTGCTGCTGAGTACTCCGTTGTGGTTGCTGCTGAGGCTGCCGCTGCTGCTGCTGCTGCTGCTGCTTCTGGTGTATCTGTTGCGTGTGCATGCGCTTCTGTCTCCTGTCTCCTACGCTTCCTTTGTCTGTCTCCATGTCTAAATATTTATTTTGCTGTCCTGTCTCTCTCCTTGTTTTTATTTATCTCTTTTTATATTTATTATTTATTTATTTATTTATGTTTGTCTCTGTTTACTTGTTTTAATCTCTGTCTGTCTCTATTTATTTGTTTTATTATCTATTTACTTCTGTTTATTATTTATTTACTTGTTTTATTATCTATTTATTTGTTTTATTATCTATTTATTTGTTTTATTATCTATTTACTTCTGTTTATTATTTATTTCTGTCTCCTCAGGGGTGTAGAGTGTATGCGGGTTTAGTTGGAAGTGACACCGCAGCCTCCCCCTCTAATGAAGAGCTGCTCGGATATACAATTATACACACAAGGTATCTGCCTGCTGCTGCTGTTGCTGTTGCTGCTGCTGCAGTTGCTGCTGCTGTTGCTGCTGCTGTTTCTGCTGCTGTTGCTGCTGCTGCTGTTGCTGCTGCTGCTGCTGTTGCTGCTTTAGTTGCTGCTTTAGTTGCTGCTTTAGCTGTTGCTGCAGCAGCTGCAGCTGTTATTCGTGCTGCTTCTGCTGCTGCTTCTTCTGCTGCTGCTGTTGCTGCGTCTGCTGCTGTTGTTGCTGTGGCGGGTGCTGGATTAAAAGCGGCGTAGACACCCAAGCCCCACACTGACTGCATGCATTTGCTGAATTTGCTGCATGCATGCAGTTGTGATGTCTCTTGATATCTATTTGCTGCTTTTCAGAGACACCCGTCTCCTCGAGCTGCAGCAGTGGGCATTGGGGGCCCCCAATGATGCAGCAGTTGGTCTCGTCATCCTAAAGAGAGCCTCAAACTAACTAATCTAAATCAACCCTCAACCCTCAACCCCAGGGGGCCCCTCTTGGGGGCCCCTCTTGGGGGCCCCTCTTGGGGGCTTCCCCTGGAGGCGCCTCTAGGGGCCCCCCTTGGGGGCCCCCCGGGCTCCTCTCCTGGAGCTTCCCCCTTGGGGGGCCCCTTTGGAGGCCCCCTTGGGGGTCCCCTTTGGAGGCCCCCTTGGGGGGCCCCCCTGGGGGCCCCTCCGGGGGGGCCCCCTGGGGGCCCCCCTCTGAGTTCAATGGTGCCTTTGGGGGCCCTACTAGACCTTCTATAGCTGTTAGTTAATCACTTTGCTTATGAGGGAATCTAAGGGGGCCCCCCTGTACCTTTCTTCCGTCATGGGGCCCCCAAGGAAGCTCCAGGAAGCTCCAGGGGGGCCCCCTTTATTTACCCTAGGGGGCCCCTGTACCCTAGGGGGACCCCTTGTCCAGGGGGCCCCCTACTTAGGGGGCACCCCTTCAATTAAGGGGGCCCCAAAGACATGGGGCCCCTTCCCTACTGGGGGCCCCCCTTCCCCAAGGGGGCCCCCTCCTCAGGGGGCCCCCTTCCAACTGGGGGCCCCTCTAAAGACAGGGGGCCCCTGCCTCACGTGAGACACTTTTTTGTATACAGGGCCTCACGTCTCGCATTCAGAAGGCGGCAGTTGATGAGCCGTCTAAAGCAGACAGCTAACTGAATTAGTAGGGGCCCCCTAGAGGGGGCCCCCTCCACTGGGGGCCCCAAGGTAAGGGCCCCCCCTCCCCAGGGGAACCCGTGGAGAGGGGGCCCCCCCCGAATGGGCCCCTATAGAGGGGGGGGCCCCTCTAAGGAGCCCCTATAGAGGGGGGCCCCCCCGAAGGGTCCCCTATAGAGGGGGCCCCCCCCCCGAAGGGGCCCCTATAGAGGGGGCCCCTAGAGGCTAAAGAGGGATATGTAGGGGCCCCCCTTGGGGGGCCCCCCACATATCCTCTTTGCTGTTTGTTTGCTGCTGTCGCTGTGGCTACGAAAGAAAGCTGCTATTGAGAGGGGCCCCCTAGGGGCCCCCTACTTTGAATCAAGAAGAGGTTTTCCGCTATACTGAAATAAACCCTAAACCCTAAACCCTTGCAATGTAGTAAACCCTAAACGCTAAACCCTAAACCCTTGCAATATAGTAAAATCTAAACCCTAAACCCTAAACCCTCGTCTAGTGTTACAAACCCTAAACCCTGGAGAAAGGCAAAGAGGGGGTTTGTATCTGCCTGCGTGAGCAGCCAACAGCAGCCTCGCATTCTCCTTAGCTGCTGGTGCAGCAGCAGCAGCAGCAGCAGCAGCAGCAGCAGCTGGTGCTGCAGGAGAGGCTGCTGCAGGAGCAGCCGCTGCAGTAGCAGCAGGTTCAGCAGCTGCAGGATCAGCAGCTGCTGCACCTGCAGCAGCAGCTGCAGCACTTGCTGCAGCAGCAGCAGCTGCAGCACCTGAGCAGAAGAAGGGGGGGTTTGATAGAAGGCTACACCCCCTGAGGTGTAACTGCATAAACAGAGTCTGCTGTCGCTGCTGCATGCAGAAAAAAGCCCCAAAGCTCGATGCTGCTGCTGCTGGGGATATTATATCACTGAATTCCTCACCAATACACTGTACATACACCGCATGCATGCATGCATGCATGCATGTAGTTAATACTGCATCGAACTGAGGTAAAAAGATTTAAAGTGAAGACTAAAGAAAAAGAAAGCCTTTAAATGAGAAGACAGGGCGGGAGAGGAGACAGGCAAATGCTGAGAATACTGTGTAGCAGCAGCAGCAGCAGCAGCAGCAAAAGGAGAATAAAAGAATATACATAAGCAATCATCAATGTGTCTGTACACCGTAAACAAAACATATTAAAAGAAAAAAGGCTCCAACTTTCTTTGATGTTGGGCTCCAAACGCTGCCGCTGCTGCTGTTGCTGCTGCTGCTGCGGTTGCTGCTGCTGCTGCTGTTGCTGCTGCTGCTGTTGCTGCTGCTGTTGCTGCATTATTAAATTCCTTTCCATAAGTCTTTGACTTCAACCATCTCTCCTGAGACAGCAGCTAAAATCCAGAGGTCATCTGGGCGGGGAGGAAGTATCTCTAGCTTCTGCAGCAGCAGCTGCTGCTGCTGCTGCTGCTGCTGCTGCTGTTGCTGCTGCTGCTGCTGCTGTTGCCGCTGCTGCTGCTGCTGTTGCTGCTGTCTCTGTGGGGGGAAGCAGCCCTTAAGTTGTTGAGGTGCTGGCCCCAATAGAATGCCTGTAATACTGCATGCATTAGGAGTAAGAGAAGTGAAGTATATATCAATAAGAACGGGGCTGCATGCAAAGAAGGGTCTTAGATATTTAAGACTGAGGTTTTTTGTTGCTGCTCT